ATACAAGTTTTCTAGAAATAAAACAATGGGAACGAAGGGCACGGTTCCATCTCAACCCGGAGAATTTTTCGATCAATGGATACGAAAATACCAGGACCTAAGCACACCTTTGTAGATAGCTCTGGGGGAGAAGCAAGAAAGACGAAGCTTGCCATGTGCAAAAGCAATGGCTTTTCCCAACATCCATCCAATTGGGCTTCTCTAAGCTAAGTAGATGAAACTGTGATACTTATTACAGGCCAAAATACGGAACTGTTCGCACATTCTGGATTTCAGATGGCGTTCTCTGTTGAGTCTCTTCTCCTCTTTCTTCTCCTCTCCCCCTTCTCTCTGGAGTAGGGATGAGCAGATTATATAATATGAGTGGTGGATATATAATTCTATATTATAATGCTTTTTGAGGCTAATTAAATATTATGTTAAGATTATTTATGTGATTATTTAACCAATTAAATTAATAGAATGAATAAAAGTGATACTGATTCTAAATTATTTTAAGATGATTAATAGAAAAGTTTATTATAAGAAAAAGAAAAAAGTAGTATATAATATTATAAATTTCGATAATTAAATCATTAAAAGTAATAGAAATCAATCGTTTTATTAGTAGTTTACGAAAGTATAGAATAATATTTTTTTTATGTATTAGTAGTTATATAATATACATCTTATAGAATTATTATTTCCTTATATTTTTCTTCATATTTTTCTCTTAATTTATTTCATTCACATTATTTGTTTTTATTTAATGTATTTATTTTATATTTGGACTTAAACATTATTATATATTGTAGTGAGATGAGGTTTATTTTATTTATAATAATTATAAATCGCCCAACCCTAGTCTGGAGCGGAGATCAGGTATCAAAGTGAGATCTAGACTAGAATTTCATACACCCTGCAAGAATTTACAAGGTACCGGTATGAGAAATGTGTCTTATGGGCTAAGCAGCTCGCTTGAATAGATTGGAGCCCCTCGTCACTTTACCACATTTAGAAGTACAATAATAATGAGCTCGCAAGGTCTAGTCGGATATTAATTAAATTATTCCATCCTCCGAGTGAGAACAATGAACGAATCAGACAGGACAAGCGACCATCGAGGCACACAATAGTGGAATTATGCATATGAATAAGTGCAAAGTAAGAGAAGAACAGATTATATAGCAACAAGCTTTCCTTTTCTTCCTGTAAATGGATTTCACAACATGGTTATCCCTTTTTGTGATGAAGAAAAAGGTGTCGTGGCTACAAAATAAGGTTCTGATGATTCTGGTTTCGGAAAATTGGGTGTAGTAGGCTGAGTAGCACCGGCAGTATTAGCATCTAACCGTAGCTAATCGAAACTATTTGTAGACTAATAACTCCCACAAATTCAACTTCGTAATGGTGACCAAGACTTTTATCACCCCATCATTCATTTATATCTTCATGCCCGTTCTTGAAGGAGCTTGAATGAACGAGCTACTGTAGAAGAGCAATGCCGTGTGTCACACAATAGGACTTGTCACGATGACATGGAAACATGGTAAAAGTTTAATTGGCGGAAAACTCCTACGCCTCGGGCCGTCGAAGAATTTGGCGATATCTCCGAAAGTACCTTGAGTAACAAATTTCAAATTTCAAATTTCAAGCTTTGTCGTCAGCTCTGAGCTTTCAAGATTCTGACAGGTACACAGGCGTAGGGGGCGTAAGGGAATGCAAACGCAGGTATATAGTCCGACATCCCCGGCGGGCTCGGAATTAGGAGTAGGAAGATATTTCTGATATGTTCCAAATTGAATTACCCAGGCAGGTACTTTTGAACATTAACAATAGAATTATGAAGTCATCCATATCATTGTCAATAGTGTTAACGCCACAATCTCGCATCGTGACATTCTCTCAAGACCTCGTCAAGGCATTATCCGGCGGGGAACCCTCGGACCTCGATTAATCCGCTAGAGAGTATAGTTTGTTTGTCGCTCACTCCATCTTGAGTTATGGGTAAAAACCTAAAACGATTAAGTACCTCTTCCACATCATATTATTCATTCTTTAAACTTCAATACATGCAACAAATTCGTGAATGATGACTACGGTATCATCCCAATGTGAGACTTATGGTGACTATCCAAATCATCGGGCAAACTTCTCGTCGCCAAACACTTGCCTCCTGATTCGACACCAAAATTCAGGAAATTAGTCTAATCTCCTAGAAATAAGATGCTGTCGTGTATGTCATTATCGTCGTATGGTATTGGAAATTATACTCACCGTCATCTATAATCTAATCAATCTTGGTCCCCTTTTTTTGAGTTTTGTAGATTGTACACTCGGAAAATCTATCCACACAAGACAGTGTCTTGACAGAATTAGACAAACAATCGTATGTATAGATAATGAAGGCGCAGCATTCCAAATGCACAGCCAGCTGACCTGGGCATGGCATAACAATATCTATTTTCCTAAATAAACTTTCGCTGAGACTATCGAAGTGGTTTGATTTCAAATACTGGAGTGATTTGTTATCAGGTGTTTTTGGAGTTGAGTAACTCTCCGGCCGCAAAAAGGTCGACCGGATCGGAAGAGACAGCATCAAACTAGATATGCTCCTAAAATTAGGATCATTACAGCTGTTTTAGATTGTTGGTTGCTATAGTCATAGGAACTTGGTCGTTGTATTCTAGCCTGCCTTTGTAACAGCTGTTATCATGGTTGCCAACAACGGTGTCTGTAACTATTGCAAAAGATACGTATGAGCTCCTAAGACTGTGGCTCGATAGCTGTTGATGTCGGCTGTTACTATATGGAAAGTATATAAAACGTTGTAAGTTCATAGCCCAAAGCCAGACATCTCTTTTCTTTCGTCTCCCTACAGTATACCTCTTGAATCAGCATCACACTCTTACAGCACAATCACCTGATCACACACCGCCCCCTATCTTTAAAAATGCACCGCTTCTTCCATGTCACTGCTTTCCTCCTCGTATTACTCCTTGCAACCACACATGGAGGAAACGTCCCCAACAGTCTCCATAACCATGCGTTGAAACTTAACTCTGACCTAACCACTACCTTTACTACTACTATCTCCATCGAACGTAGAGTTTAGACTTCAAAAACATGGGGAACTAGCTATAGTGGGTATTCCAGCACCGCAAGCATCGAACCTCGAGCTTTATTGTTGGCGGATAGAATTCCCACCACCACAGCAACGGACGCAATGGCTACCCCATTGGTAGCTCGTGACAACTCTGTGACAGAGAGCAGTGATATGTTGTACATTCCCAACCTATGTACCCTTGGCTTGGTTGTTGTCGCTACCATGACTGTTAGCGCCGGCTCATCATCAACCGGAACCCCAGATTCAAAGGGCCATGGGAAAGTTAACCCTAAGTATTGCGGGGACTCTACTATTTTTGCGCATTTGAGTTTGTGCTGAGCAGATCAATCTGGGGTATATGCAAACGATCATTACGTTTTATGGGTTTGATTATGGTTATGGTTTTAGGTTTATCAACGTCGCACTTGATGATCGTGTGACGCCTGGGTACCACACATTTTGATCAATGGTTTGAATGTCTCTCCTTTTCCTTCCCTCGAAAATCTTTCTGTTTGCGTCTTGAGTATTGGTGTCGCATGACTCTTAAGTCTTGGAGCATGTACTTTCTGTTTTGTTGTTGTCATTTTGCGTTTGAAACATTGCTCCTCGCTCACCTGGATGGCCGTTCCCTTTGAACTTCTTTCATAATTCTTGACAATCACAATACAGCGAGATTGACTATGTCCTTGTCAACAGCCAAAATGCGTGATCCCATTGATCGTATTGTATCAATATGACGTTTTGTCTTTTTAGTCCTCAACTCGATTACTGACATTCGCGCGAAGTCAATTTTCCCTTCAAATCGATTCACTCCCTCTGCTCAAAAAGGGGTTACTGTTCATCTGTAATGGAAAAATAGCAAAGTGGAAATCTCACTACAAGCAGACTACTTATATATTCACCATCTCCGAAAAGTCAATATTTGTTATATATTCGGAAAGAACAGAGAAAAAAAGGTTCATGACTTTACAACAAGTACCTATCAACATTTCACACCTCTTATTACACTCAGGGTTGAGAACCCGTACCTTACTCAGCGTTTTTGACCTTTCCGGATATTTATACTCTACTCTACAGATATACAGCCAGATGGAAACTCATAAAATTCGGAAAAATAGCTGAGTATTCGATACCTGGGGTATGAATTATATGATTAACATATAATTATTCTATAATATTATCTAATATAAAACTGTTTCTGATTATATTAAGTATTGAAAGGTTATTATCTGATTAGGGATTTTAATATTATATAATTGAGTTATATAATTATATAATCTTATTAATCGAATCAAAATTTAAAAGATATATAATCACTATCATATGAATATTATTTAATAATACCTAAAGGTATACTTATATCTAATAGTATTTCATAGGGATTTTACTCTATTCTATAATTCTATAATACGTTAAAATACTTGGAATTTATATCCAGGCATACTCAGGTACACCTGACCTAATACTCAACCCTAATTTTTAAGATAATAGATAGTTGATTAACTCAAACATATGGTTCTCCGCCGATACAGAACCTAATTATTGCCCCCGTCTCCCGCCAAAATGCATCTTGAATATGAAGTCATAATTGAGTTTTACCATTAACTTGAGGGGTCACCGGGGAGATGCGATTGAATTCACCGGGAGCGCAAATACAGTCGCAGACTCGAAATCGCGCTAAAATATATCCCTGCTAAACGCGTCCCCCGCAATTCTCTGTCACCATCTTCGACTTCGATTCTACAAGGTTTTCCCACGCAGTAGAATTGCTCTTCTCTACTTGTGGCATTACTTAGTTGATTGTTTGTATTGTTTATAATTCAGATTCTGCAACATTCTCCGTGGCTTATTTGAATATTCGGGCTTGCCATTGCTGTCTTTTGCTCACCGGCGCAAAATAATATTTACCACAAACATGAGCGCCGCAGACACTGCTCTCCTCACGGAGCATTTGACATACAGACCAATTGTAAGTGTTGAGATATGATGATACCGATACTGCCCAATTGAGATATCGCCTATCTCTAACATCATCGCAGGCCGTCATCGACGACATAATAAACAGTATCAATCTCCTCGCATTCCGAGCCATCGATGCGCTCGAAAAAGGTCTCTTCGCTGCTCCCCCCTCTTCAATCGGCTTTACACCCACTTCTGCCCTCTCCGCCGAAGAAGTCGCAACACAATGTCAACACGAAATCGAGAACGGAGTCTACAAGCTGGAAACATTGCTCAACGCGAAGATTGATAAGAATTTCGATAAGATGGAAATTTATTTGCTGAGGAACGTTTTTGCTGTGCCGCCGGATGTCAGGGATTGGATTCGATTGAGCCATTATGAAGGATTGGATTTCAGGAGTGCGGAGGAAAATGGAGCAGGAGCGGATGGAGTGCCCACGTCGGAAACGGTCACGTTGCAGAGGAAGAGATTGAGGGAGACGATGAAATTGAATGCGGTGTTGAGGGCAGAGAAGGAGAGAAATGAAAGGACTATTGCGGCGTTGAAAGGAATCATATCGCCAAGTCAAAGTTCTTCGGCTAAGAAAACTGTGAAGGCCGAGGATGGCACGGAGATGGAAGTCGATGTTGAGGATGATGAGCGACCTTCATTGGCATTCTTGCAGAAAAAGGGTAATTTGACGAAGGATGGAAAACATCCTATTGCGACTACCACCGAATTCGCCTTGGCGCAATTGCCTGCGCTCAAGCAGTTACTGGATAATTTAGGACCAAGATTGAAAGAGTTATCCGAAGGCGATGGCATGGCTGGAATGGTGGGAGAGCAAGAGAAGAGTTGGAGAAGAGAAAGACTGGAATTCATTGAAAAGGAAACGAGACGACATCTTGAAAACGTGCGAGGCTTGGAGCTAGGTTCACAAGGTGAAGTTAGAGATGGAGAGTGGCAGGGCGAGGGAAGGAAACTCGGGAATGGAGAAGTGGAGGATTTGGAAACGGTTGTAGGGATGTTTGAGAGTCACGCTGCGCCACCTGAGGATGTAAACGGAAATGGAGACGGAAATGGAAGTGGAAGTGGAGGCGGAAATGGAGAGGGAGATGGAGATGCGATGGATGAGGGAGCGTAAATTCGATATTCAAGGCACGATTCATGAGGTTGATATTGGCGTTTTTAGGATATACCCAAGGGTGGGCTGATTAAATGGCGATTTAAGAGCGCGGATGAACATGTCGTTTTATACATATACAGCTATGCAATAGTCTAGCTTGAGACGTGAAATTGAATAAATAAGAGAAGCATATGTCTCCTAGCTGGGAAGCATAACAGCGATATACTCTACATATATGTCAATCCCTGCTGGTGAGTTGGATGTCTTGCATTGCAGAACCCTTTACTCGAGCATTGCTATCTGAGACAAGGGAAATACGAGCCCAACAAACTTCATAGCAAATAGTATTAATTCGTATCATAAACCCACACCACTACGCGTGATGCTATTACTCCCCACGCCTTCGCTGAATACATCCCATGCAATATTACCAATCAATTGCCCTCTATCCATATGGACAATCTTCCAGAAAACGCCCTTATATGCAATTACCAACACCCAAAACGCAGACCAAAATGTTCCCATTCCCAAAATCCCAATTCCATGCACACCCCCAAGAATCACAACAATCCATTCCAAATAGCCCCCACAAAAGCTTTCTGCGCACTCTCTTCACGGTTTCCACTCTCGCTCGCCCAACTCTTGACTCCCTTTCCAATAGGTACCAAGCCTGGTTGAGCCGGCAGTTCAATATTCGGTAATGCGGAATCGCCAAATGGTACGGTGTCGTAGGCGCCAGAGGACATGGTATCGTCGTCGGTAATAGTGCTACCGGAAACACAAAGCTGGCCTCCCCATACGACCGAATGAACTCTCATCCATAAGCCGGTGATATCATAGATATCATTTTTAGTATAGAACAAACGACAATTAGCAGCTTCGTATTGGAATTGTAGGGGTGTAAATGTTTCGTCGTCGTCGTGCATGTTATTTCGAAGGTTGAAACGACCGCCAGACATCAGTCTTGATGCAGATCCGAGGGATACGTTGCCTTTGATGTTAGGGATATATTCCGGAGCTGGGTAGTCGGGCAACTCGAGTCCTTTTTTAAGATAGGCTGCTTGTGCGTCTGGTAGAGCTTTAATTTGAGATGCGATACCATTGTAGGTCAATACTTCGGCGCCTTTAGAGCCGCATACTCCTTGTTGAGGACCTGGCTGTGGGCGACCTCCGACGGCAACTATAGGAATATTAGCGGAATGAACAACTGCATGTAGATAATTAACGTACTACTTCGCACGCCAACTTGAGCTTTCATCATCTCGGCGAAGAGAGCACACGTGGAGCCGCAGCCGCCATCCATAAGCATCACAATGTTTGAGGCATTGAAGACCGCTGGGGGAGGGTTGCTCTCGTCTAGGTAGCCTGTGATATTGATGCCTCCTGCTTGGGTCTATGGAAGTAGTTAGCATGAAGTTAATTACGGTTGAGGAAACGACCTACCATCGTAACGTGATCCGAAAGGTTGTAACGAAGTTCCGCAGTGAAGTTATCACCGTAGATCGGCGTGTTAGGGGCTTCCTGATTCCAACTTTGAAAGGGTTGTCCATTACCATCAAGTTCTGATTGTGCCTGATAAAGGTAATCATGACTGTTATCGTAAGCTCCGGCACCAGTGAATATGGTACCCATATAATTTACCAGCGGGGTGGCTCGGTATCGTGATGCTCCAAATGGAACTAAAGATGGGAAAATCTGTTTGAAAGCATCATATCCGCTGAACAGATAACCGCCTCCATTTCCTTGTACGTCTACAATCAAGTATTCCATTTGCGCCTTCTGACATTCAGCTAAGAACTCACTGATCACTCTTTGTTGTTCGACTGCTGCTTTGCCATCTTTTTGATAAGGGTCGTTGAACCCCTGCATTGCTAAAATTGCAGTCTTGGTATCTTCGAAGAAGTAACCGCTTGTATAGCCGTCCGGATGCATGACGATTGGCTGGGGATAGCCGGTGAGTGATGTGATCGATCTTTCTGCTGTCTTAGTTTTGGTGCTCTGTCGACTATCCGAGGCTGAGGAGCTCGAAGAGGGTGATTCTGATTCTGGTAGATCTACAGCGTTGAATAGGTCTTGTCCTGATGATATGGATGTAAAATTGAGGGTTGTCGAGGCATACATTTCGGCATTTACGCTGGTTCCATTTGCGAAAGTATATTGAATAACATCGGCCGAAAATCCATAAATATATGCTCCAGACGTAAACATTCCACTGCTTCCGGAAAAGGCCAATTTCGGCAAAGAATAGAACATTTGGTTGTAGTTGGCATCGTTGTCTTGGTAAACACTTGTGCTCTGACCGAGAAATTCAAGATATAAAGTGGCATTCAGGTCGTTGACTTTGACCAGTGGTGATGCTGTCCAATTACCTGTTTTGGATAGTGTCATGTTGTTCTGCTTGCCAAGATCATCTATGCGAGGTTAGCTCTAAGACAATAATCGACTAAAATGGGAAGCCTATACGTACACTTAAAATATATCTCTGGCAATGCTAAGCCGTCGGATGATATTGATACCAATGGCCCATCTGATGTACCAAAGGAGAAGACGCTCATCAGGGGAAGCGGCAGGTTGACATGGAAATCATGAGGCAATATGTTTCCCAGAGCATGGAGATCCCTTTCGAACTCCCATTGGTTTGTATAATATCCTGAATTGACATTTTCCTTAATCTCAGCTAGGCCTCCCAGCATATCAGCGCCAGGTAACGGGTAGCCTGATGGAGGATCTTTGAGATAGGCCAGAGTACTCTGGAATTGCCAGAATGGCTCTATATAATCAACAAAATCTGATGAGCGCTGTACATCCAGGGGTACGGATTGAAGGCATTGAAGAGCAATGGAAGCGTTAAATCTTTGGATGTTTGCTAGATGATCACATTAGTCACCACTTGTAAGTATACGAATTTTGGTTTACCTGTTGGATGACCATGATTATGTGACTTGATCACATCCGAAACTGCTCCACAGCCATCTACTGCCGTCGCTGTTACTGAGCTTAGCAAGACACTCGTTGATACCAAGGCCAACAGCCTTAGTCTAAGATTTTTCAAAACCATTTCAGCCAAATTGAGATTGATTTTGTGTAGAAACAAGACGGAGAAGAAAAGAGAAATGGATCAAGACAAATAAAGGGTATGGCTCACGAAAACAATGATAAGCAGTGCTTATTGTCTTCGTCTTCCTATTGTTTTTGAAACTACAAATCCTAAACGGAGTTGAAATATGCTGGACTGATTAGGTAACGTGCTTCCTTTAGGTGGCACAGTAATGAAGCGAAATGAGTATATTCCAAGGTTGCTTTATTTGGAGCGGTGGCTTACAACCTTATTGATCCGACCAGAAAAAGCCCATACAAAAGGAAAACAATCAATTTGGGTAGTGCCAGCTCATTGAGGCGTATGGTATAACAATGCAACTGTGCCATCAGCACATGCATTGCCCCCATTAAATAGAGAAGTGAATACGATTTACCAATCAAACTCTGAATCCTCACTGTTGGAAATAACGATTCAGTGAATCTCACACCTTGATAAACTAACATAACTCGCAAGACTAGTTGAGGGCTATGTAGCAGAAACAATATCTCCCGATCGATGACCAGTAAATCAAAAGGTCTATAATAAGGTATAGATAGCGACTTCGACTGCGCAGTACTTACGCGCAGATTGATATACCATTTGTTCCGACACCTCGAATGTGAGAAGATGTCACAAATGAATGTCCAAACATGTTTTCATTCATGAAGCCATTATCCTAGGAGGGTTCCCGTTGGAAGAACATGATTTGCTATCAACCACGTCGCTGCATGGCATATTTCCTCCAACAGCTGCTTTTTCAACATACTGCTATGCATTTCTAGATGAAGGGTTTTGATGACACGATGAAGAACGATATTCGAGTATTAAGATGGTCAGAAAACACCTATATATATGCTCATAGGCAGTTAAACCTTTCGAAAAAATGTGATGGCAGTCAATTGTAGGTAGACGTTGCAGGAAATATGAGGTGTGCGGCGTATCACGTGATTTTGCACACATGAGTTAACACATTGTAGAAGAGTCCCGAGGGTGTCACCTTCCTTGTTAGAATGATCTGAAGCTCACCGACATTCGATACAACAACAGACAGAGAAAGTCTCTCACGAACCTCACGGGGCGTATTGTAAAATGGCTTTAAATTGGACAATATGGCTGTAAATCATCAATTTATTGTTGATGTGATTTGCCTTGCCTTCAGAGAATGATTTCAACATATCACCCCGCCGGTTCATCTACTTGACATCTCCGTTATCCGGGGTAGCACAACCACCTTTCATGTAGACCAAAGCTACACGAATACAACCTCCCTCCAGGCAGTCGGATCCCTCTGAACTTTCCACATAGCAGGGCTAACCAGAGTTTCTCATAATGCTATTCTATCCAAGTATAGGTTGAGAGTATGAGAAAAGTGGCCTAATTCAAGTAGACTTGACTTATCATTCTTTCTACTTCCTCAAATCCTCCATCAAGTTATCCAATTTCGTTGGAAACGTCTAGATCCTATGCAGCTTAAGCTTATTCGAGCTGTCACTCTGATGCATGCTTGCATGATGGGCAACACATCGTTCGGGTCCCAATCCGACTAGGTACATTCATATGGCAAAACAAGTGTGGTTTGACAGCCATAGCATGCGATTGAGAAGGTCGATTTCGCAAAATAAGGCTGAGAACTGTTTCTATAACGTTAATTCAACATGTATAGATCCCAATGGAATCAGTGCTGGAGGAACTATTTGGCCGCGGTAGATATGTCATACTCATATTGGTAAAGCTGATGTAACACCCCTGAAGTTGCATGAGTCTCTGCAGAGGTGATGTCGTATTACATCTACACCACCTCTTGCGCATGATCGCTACTCACCGTTACGCTCACCTTTTCTTCATCTACCAGCGCCAAGTCACCGCCTTTACAGAAAAGTACTGCAATTCGTGGATTTTGGTCGAAAGATCCCTCCGGTATAACCTGATTCTGATATCCATGAGATCTAAGCCTCAATGATAGGTACATGGGGAGCATACTAGGTCGTACGCTCAACCTGTGAGACTTATTTATCAGACGTTGAAGAGCACTAAAAATGCGGACTTGGGTCTTCGGCGCGTACCGGTAACCTACACAATGCAGGATCTCGGTGGAAAAGGGTGACGCCCTAGGCAAACTATAACCTCTCAGGAGTCGTTATCGGTACCAGCTATATGTTGACCAAACAAATCAAGTTCGGAAAAGCAGAACCTGCATGCATTGTGACGGCCATTCCGAGTACAAGAATTGGAGGTGATTGAAACAGGCAATGATAAACACTATGTCAAGAGAACAGCAAGCAAGTGGAACAATTTGCTGACCGCATATTTCAGGCATCACATTACATTCGAAGAATACCTCCAGTAGTAAAGTCTGATTGAGAACCAGCAGAAGGGCCGAAAGTGTAATGTATACCAAGCACACGAACTCTGCAGCCTTATCATAGGGCTGCAGCTGTGCATATTCACCAGGAACTCCAAAACACATGACTACAATTCCATGCGGTGCAATGCATAGATCGAGTTCGTTCTAATGGGAAGCTTTGTATTGAAAGTCTAAAAAGTCATTACTGTGCCTGACCTGAATGGCAAGGGACTCAGCCCCTAAGGCCATGCTACTCCTGCCGGAACCGATCAACAGCTTTGTGTTCTTCTCAACAGCTTACCGCTCAGGTTCATCATAATTCGTTGAAACTACCTCCATTGTTGGGTATCGTACCTCGGCTTTTTATCAAGAAGCCTGGAATAGATCTAACTACTTGTGGAGATTCAACACTCGTATATCGTAAGAGTCACATCTATGATGGTAGAAGTCATCATAATCATAGCAACCTTAGTCTTCAGCTACAATAATGAGGCGAAGACTTGAAGGATCATTGCTCTTCAAGGCACCCTTCTCTCTTGCTAAATTTATGTTGACCGATGCAGAATGATGCTATATAAGATGCCAATGATCGATGGAAATCATCTCCTCTCCAGCTTGCAGATCTTATACCCTCTCCCGTTTTCAGATTATACCTCTCGATAATCTAGAAAACTCGACCAACATCGCCAGTTTACCTCATAAATTCTTCAACTGCTCCATCTCAAAATCGCGATTATCGTTAAGCCACACAAACCTGAGATCATGTGCTACGTACTCGTTGAACTTTATTCTGTATGCAGATGTCCCTACTACACCCACGCGATCGACATGTGTCCCGCATACGGAACACCGGGTCATTATGTTGAAGAAAGAACAATACTCGTCGGATACACCTGCGAGTTGCATTCATCACATCACTAGCACGAAACTTGTGACCTGCTCCTTGCGGTTACTATTGTAGTGTTGTGTCTCGAATTTGAATTTTGGCAAGATACTTGGTCGAGCTTTTACCCATCTCGATATATGTTTCGAAATGTACAACATGTTATCAGTTATTGGGTTATGAACTTGCTTAGTGCATAGTCTTCGTTTGGAAACGGAAGTTTGAGGACTTGGGGTTCTGGGTATTGGATTTCTGGGTATTGGGTTTCTCTTGGAACTGGCATGGGTTTGGCATTGGGATTTGGCATGAAGTATGGTCTGGATCACTGTATCGTCAACGTTGCCGGTCAACGCATTGGGAGTCGAAGAATTGGTATTTACTATGTTGGATGGGTGATACATTATGTCAAGGTTGTCTTTCGGGTTTAGATTTTACATTACCAGTGCGAACTGGCTGGGAACTTTAACGGCGACAAGGGTTTATGGATTGAGGGATTGAGATATGGTTGGGGTTTATACTATTACAAAAGCACTTTAGATCTACGATACTATTCACAAGTTTTATCTTGCATTTCTTATAAAATACGTCGCCACTTCTTTCAGTATCTACCAGAGAGAAAATAGGCACATCCATACAAGATGTCTATTGAAATTCCTTCTAGAGCTCACCCAATAAGAACAACCAGAATACCAGACCCTACCCAAATATTCCTCAATCACATTTCTCCCTGTCTAAAAACCCTTGAATGAGTTGAGCCTCCATTCCAGAAGCTTCCAGGCAGTCCCCATCCGACGTGTGAATCGGATCACATCAGCCTCGCATCCGCCATCAGAAACAACCATAACAAGCACACCCCCTAATCCTAAAGCTTGCATTCCCCAGGGCCAAAAGAAGATGATTGGAAGCTGAGTAAGAAAACCTGCTTGCTTACGTAGATATGATGGCCCTGCTACTACATCTGATTCGCAAATATGTTTTGGGATATTAGTCGTAAGAACGAATGATATCTGAGAATGGAAGAGTGGCTAGAAATAGAATGGAAGAAATATTCCAAACGGGAGGGGTACTAGGAAATGCATGGAAATGGAAAGTTGGGCTGAGTCGGAAAACTGTGGGTAGTGGGTTCTGGTATGTGATTTGTTCTGTGTGTATAGGGGATCGATGACGGTGGGGAGTTGGATGGAATGGGATGGGATGGGATTGGATTAGAATTAGCTCCAGAGGCAGATGAAGATGAAGATGCGTGGAGATCTCGTGTTTGACTGTGGCGTGGCGGAGATGCATATGAGATAGGGAGAGAATATGTGTGAGTTGATGAGTAAGGTTTTTGGATGGGTATTTGAGGGTTGTTGCTTGTGGGTGGCGCAGTGGGTATGCAGGATGAAGATGATGATGAGTATGAGAGTGCGAAGCGAGAGTGCCCCTTTCAATTGGGGTTTGCTGGCTTGTGGAGAGTTGAGAAAATGATTCGGATGGGGGTAGTTTGGATTGGTTTGATTTAGGAGATGAATTGTTTGATGCCCTAGGGAGATATCCACTGTCATATTATGTTGATATTACCAGACATGTCACCGTCGTGGATGTTACGAAGACTTTTTAGATACTTGATGAGTTAGCTACACTAAGATGAAGATCTAATAACTAGTAAATCTATCAATACCTCTACACCAGCAAATTTCACTCCGCACCACACAATTGCACAGTATGATTCCTACTCTCTACACGCTGCTTTACATCACCGCATCATCCAATCTCAAAACTACAACGACTCAATAATCCCACGTATGCAAGATGCTTACCCTGCATGTATTCATGCAGCCCTACTCGGGCCCGAAGTAATTGAATTCCACAGATTGAAATGGGTTTGTAGCTAACTGTATACATACGTATGTATGTAAGACAATGTGTTTTTCATATGAACAGCTAATGAAGAATAAAAATTGAATCAAACAGTCGAAGTTACCCTGATCTACATTCTCTCCTAAGAATCTTCCCATCTGGTATAACAACACTTCACCGCTATCCTACATATGGAATCATCTCCGATTTTCAAAATCTGCTTATCCTCATATATTACAGTATAACTCAACCCAACAATATACCCCCATGCCCAGCAGAATCGCCACTCTGATAACATTCAAATATCAAAACTCCCCAAAACCTCAACCATCTCAACACATACATCGACCACACATCATCTCAATATTCCCAACTCTCAGCCCTATCTATCAGAACCCTCAAGCTTACCTACTATGTAACTTGCAGATATTCATGCTACGTCATGTTATGTCATGTTATGTCATATCATCGTGCGATTGATTCTTACTTGCAGATGTGACAGTGCACTAGGAAATCAGAGCCAGTAGCACAGACGCTCTTGTTCCTTGGTGCTAGATATGTGAGAGCATCGTTACGTTGTGTATTTATGTGTTTATGCGTTGAGGTTTGAATGTTGAGTGTGGATTTCCCGGGTATGGTATCGCTGTATGGATACTGGGAATTAGAAAGCTGGCTATGATTATTTAATCAATCATTGAGTACCTATTAACTACATAATCTCAATCTCAATCTCGACACCAATCCATCCTCCTAGTGTATTCCGCAGTTCTCCACGAAGACATCCTCAGAATAATTAAAAACGGCATGTACTTACTATCCCCTGACGTAAGCGACGCTTTCGGAATGTTGCTAGCCACACTTAGACATTCTTCCTACTTACCTAGATAAAGTAGGTAAGACATTCCCGAAAATCTATTCCTTAGGGAGGTTTATTTCCATGTTTTCAGATTCGGATATTATCCATTTGCATTGATTCCCTAAATATCGAGAGAATTAATGACGAGAACGATGATTTATTGCTGCAAACCATTAAAAATACTCGCAAAGAAACCCAAAAAAATGGATACTGAAATATGAAATCTATGAGATATTTCTCTCTACACAATCCTTCAACATGAATTTATATTCAAAAACCATTCCACCGCACCAATAATTCCAGATGGCGAGACAAACAGCATCAACAACAACCCCCCTTACAACTCTCTCTCCCCCATCCAAATACATCCACTCCTCAACCTCAACCTCGCCACCCTTAACCCTACCCCCTCACTCCCGCCTTCCCCCCAAAGCACCTCAACCTCAACCCCAACCCTTACACCTCCCCCTCCGCCAGCGCGCCAAAATAATCCTCGGCTTCTCCGGCATCGGCAAAACGCACCTTGCCGCGCACGCGAACCGCGAATACGAATGGTTGCACGTAATCGACTATTCACTCGAGCGACACCATCTAGATTTCAGCTGCGATTATCAAACCGAGTACCTACAAACAATATCTGCTGCGGTATCGCAGCCGGGGGTTTTGTTATTGGGGGGACCGCGATGGGTGGGAGAGTTTTTGGTGAGGAATGGGTGGGCGTTTAGTAGTGTGTTTCCGAAATTGGAGTGTAGAGAGGAGTATGCAGTGAGGTGGGATCAGATGGGGGAGGAGGAGGGGTTGATTGCGCATCGGTTGGTGGGGTGGGAGGATGCGGTGAGGGATATGTGGTGGGGGGAGGGGAGGTGTAATCATTTTGAATTGGGGGAGGGGGTTTATTTGGAGGATATTTTTATGGATGTTTTGACGGCAGCGGATCATGTGGAGGGATCTGGGAGTGGGGAGAATGAGGATGGGGATGAGGAGTTGGGAGAGGTGTGGTATGATGCGCATGAGACGTTACAAGGATCTTCTGCGGGACGGAAAAGATCACGTACGGAGAATGATACCATACGACAAATTGTCCAAAGTCTCACGACTCGCCAATCCTCTCGAATTCAATCTTTCCTCAACTACACTTTTCTGATACTTCAGTTTATTTTCCTCTGTACCCTAGCCACGCTCATCCTACTAGCATACAAAGAATGGAATCTTTGGCAATCGAGAAACAAACCAAATTTCCCTACCATTGGGGAATTTTCCGGTCTGAGTGGTCTGAGTAGGATGCACAATATGTTTAGTCACTGGTTTCTTCCAGACTGTATATCGGCCATCTTGCCAAACTCACGAAAAACTTGGCTGGGCACATCTGATTTTCGGGAAGAACTTGTAATGTTGGTTCAGAAGTGGTTAGATTTGGAGAAATCTTTATTGGGTTCTTGATAGGGGTGTTGTGTGTTGTATATAGGTAGGTATCAGCGAAATGTATGTGCATTTGTGAGGAGATAGTTCTCATAAGGGCATACTATAGAATATTGCCCTTCAAGTACTCCCTAACCGTGAGTGCTCAGGACAAAGTGGATAAAAATCGATCTAGCAATCGTCGTAGTATACATATAGCGATGCTCTCGTTGCGAGATTTACATTAATTTGCAAATATCATCCTCGAGTAATGTGGTCGAGCATTATTGTGTAAATAAGCTTGACATTGTGATTGATTTGCATAGCGAGATGTTAAGACTCAATGTATGGCAAACCCGGTGGATGTATGCCACTCGTCATTTTATAAGGCTGCCAAAACATCACGTTTGTACTAACAAAAATAAGATATCGCTGAAATGTTCTCGCAAAGAGATAAGATTGGAAAACACACAAATGGTGAAATGCCACTGGCCTCTTCATAAGCCTGTGTTCCATTAATGGGTTACCAAAGACATTTTTAAAATCCTTCGTACGAACGACCTTTCACAGACCTTTGAATCTCATGTCGTTTACCATCTTGCTATAATTCTTCCTCATGCCTGCCTTTGCTGTTCTTCTTATTTTACCACGGCTCGACGGCAATAATCATTCTTGATACCTGCCGTGGAGCAACCCATGCTATAAAACTCAATGATCGCTGAAAGATCATTCGGAGCTATGAATGCGGTATGGATAGGCGAAAGATCATGATGTTTCCCCATTTGGTACCCGGTTTTGAACGTAGCAAATAACATTTTTCCTGGTAGCTATCCTGCTGAGATTATTCAACGAGCACCAAATAAATCTGTTATGCTCAATCTCCTTCCTCCCTGAGCTTCTACTTGGCTGGTTGGAATTTGGGTTTGAGGTGCCTGGGGTTCTGTATTTCCATGGTTCTCTACCATACTTTCCATCGTTTGCACGTCAAGCATGGTAGCTTGTGTCTTTTTCCAATTCTTGAGAATTTCTGATTGATTCGCAACTCTCGTACCCGTCTCATCATCATGAATGTATATACCATAAGCCTTTGCAACAGGAGTACCTCCGACCGTCTCTGACTTTTCAACCGTCCAATATAAGTATTCCCCATTAATCTCCACATTATTCATTTCGCTGAAATCGTGAATAATATTATTAAGGCCCTTGCGATTGAGAACCACAATGCAGTGGTCTTCAGCCCCGGTGGTGGGTGAGGGTAAAAGCTCGCAGACGAACAATGTACCCTCGATGGGAAGTTTCTCCCAAGTCTTTGACTCTAGAGAAAACATGTACATAGTGGCAGATGCCGCAAGCGAAGTGATCTTTTGGATAGATGGATGGTAGCGTCTGAGGACTGATAGATTGAGTTCTTCGTTGGTACGAGTAGGAGGTGCGGGACCCAGTATTGGCGTCTCGGTATCATAGTCGGAAGCTTGAACTTGGCTCAACTGAGAGGGTCCTGGATGATTTTGACGCTGACGAGGCTTTCGAGGCGTCATTCTGACGGCTTTGATCTATGCGAGGATAGAAGACCTGAGATATGGTAGATAGAAGGCTAACGATTTAGCTGGTCTATGGAGCCCTACCGTTGTTGGCGGATAAGTGGTTGAGGTCGTAGATTTATTGCTGCGCAAGTGGTGGTGTGAAGTTGCGAGGCAGTTAGATGGATAGATGAATCTGTTGATCTAAGCAGTATGGAATACTGAATACTGAATACGGTTTCGAGTGTGCGTTCTTAATGCAAAGAATGGCAGTCTTGTGAATGAAGTTTATTGTATTTTGAGACGGCAAGATTTATTCGGTATTGTCATGAAGGAAGAAGGATGTCAGCCTCGCGGTAACAGATGGGGAAATGTGAAATGCACCTGAGAACACTAAAATCCAAACCGTCAAGGGGGCACAATTGGACAACAAGTGGGCTTTAATACTTCTAGAACAACCCCCACTAGCAAGCACTTAATCACCATTGGCATCATTTATAGTAAGTAAGTAGTACCCTTAGCACCATTAGTACCACAATTACATTGACTTTAGGTTCGGTCCGTACAATAATAATAATAATAATAATAGAAAAGTATACCAAGGAAGTTGGGTCGTTGGGTAGTTATGTAGGTACTTATTAGGTACTTGTACCGCTATTTGTTGAACTCGTCTACTTTTATCCTTTACATGATTACCTGCATCAACTGCCATTCGTTCTCTCACACACTCATTCATTGACTTTGAAATACTCACAAACCTTTCTGCTACTCCGCCTGCAAAACTCTCTTGCCTCCAATCACTACATCGTACTCGCTCTTTGATTTCTTCTTGAAAAACCACCCCCGGTGAGCTTTGAGCCTACGTCATTCAATCCCGGGTATTTAAAGAACAAAAGGAAAAAGCAAGACAGCGAAGAAGAAGAAACCCGAGCACGATCTTCGAGAAAGAATAGAAGGGAAACAGGCCGCGCAAAATCAACATGTCATGAAACTTTGACGTCTGTTATCATTGAAAACTGTTGTAAACCCTCAAAGATGGTCTCGAACACGAGAGATTCGATAGATGAGGAACCTGTCGAAGTCGAATTGCCTGTGACCTCCAGTCCACAATCCCTCTCGAAAGCTGTCTATGCGCGACGAAGCGAATACACTCGACCGCATAAAATCAAAATAAAGATTGGTTGCTGGAATGTTGCTGCTTGTCCTGGAACCGAGAAAGATCTCGCAGGTTGGTTTGTGCAAGGCAAAGGGATTGACAAACGACTAGCTGGGCTTGATATAGCCAATGCGATTGAGAAGCAAAATAGTCAATCGAACATAGAAAGTGTCGAGGAACAAGAATCAAGGAGGAAGAAGAAAGAGTCAACAATCCCGCTTGGCGATGAAGGTATAATTGCTGGCGGAGAAGATGTCGGATTATATGTTTTGGGACTACAAGAAGTTGTTCAGCTCACGTCTGCGAAGGAATATATTGGCAAAGTTTATTCAAATGACAATCCTGCAACAATATGGAGGAAAGCACTTTCTGGGGCTTTACCAGAAGGTTACACTTTAGTGGCTGAACAACAGCTCTCTGGTCTGCTCATGTTCATCTACGCATCCCCAGCCGTGGCACCTACGATAAGTTCTGTCAGTACCGTCAGTATTGGGACTGGATTCATGGGATATCTAGGGAACAAAGGCGCAATTACTACTAGGATAGTACTGGGAGAAACAACTCGACTTGTATTCGTAAATTCACATTTGGCTTCGGGAACGGATAAAGCGCATTTGGAAAGGCGAATTTGGGATGTTCAACAAATAGTGCAAAGAACGCATTTCGACCCTATAAGCCGAGGTGGAGTTCTAGATGATGCCCAGGAGAGCATCGGTGATGAAGATTTTGCTTTCTGGTTTGGAGATCTAAACTTCAGATTGGAAGGTTTACCGGGAGACGACATTCGACGATTGCTGATGCTTCATACGAAAGGAGAATATGACATTGGGTCGCGATCAAGAAAGAAGATTGACAACGAAATTGACGCTGGTGACGGACCAATCGTAATCAGGTCTATTGATAGTGATGACGAATCTGAGGAAGATTTTCGTAAAAGCAGTAGCACGTTTGACCCGAACGACGATTCTTCTACTGTGACCACGCTTCCCGATCCTGATGATTTCATGCAAGATCCAAGCCAAGATCCTGCCTCATTACAAGCTACCATTGATTCGTTATTACCACATGACCAATTAAGGCATGTCCAAAAAGCTCGAAGAGCGTTCCACGACGGCTGGAGAGAAGGGCCGGTAACATTCCTTCCAACATACAAATACGATGTAGGGAGTATGGGAGTTTTTGATTCGAGCGAGAAGAAAAGGGCACCAAGTTGGTGTGATAGAATTCTATTCAGAACACGGAGAGACAAATTGGTGTTTGATGCCAAGATGAATGAAGAGTCATTGGCAAGAGCAAAAGATGAAGAAATGAGGGCTCAAGGAATGGATCATGCCACCGATGATGAAGATGTCCTTTTTAGCTATGATCCAGATGAAGATGGGGAGCAACAGACTACTCCTTCTAAGAGCGATGATTATGATGAATATGACGAATACGATGAGACTGAGGACAATGAAAACGCACCAGTAATAACTAGGGACGGATTTATAGATCGAATAAATCTGGATATTTACACCTCACATCAACGAGTCCTCTCATCAGATCACAAACCACTCGATGCTGTTTTTAGCTTGGAATATGACGCAGTCGTACCTGAAATAAAGTCAAAAGTACAGCAAGAGGTTGCTAGAGACCTTGATCGAGCGGAGAATGAAGCTCGGCCCGGGATAACCATTGTTATAGATCATTCACAGAACACAGAGGAAAGTCATCAAAGTGACAAGTCTCGGAAGAATTCAGATGACGGAAATGGAGCTGTTGATTTTGGGGATGTTGAATTCGAACACCGAAAATCTAGAAATATTACGATTGCAAATACGAGCCAAGTCACATCTACATTTGCATTTGTTGATAGACCTGGTGTTGAAGGCCAAGAAGACAGAATTGCACCGTCATGGCTCAGTGTATGGTTTGCAGGATTCTCTATGGATGAAGATGATAGAGCCTTACAAGATCTTAAACGAGAGGTTACACTAGAACCTGGGGATGCAATCAATGTAACACTCGAGGTTTTAGTGGACGACCCTTCCTCTGTAAAGTCATTGAATAATGCGGAGGTCCTACTCGAAGATGTATTGGTATTACGAGTTACGGAGGGAAGAGATCATTTTATTCCAATCAAGGGAAATTGGCTCCAATCTTGTCTAGGACGATCTATTGAAGAGCTCATTCATATACCAGAAGGTGGCGTGCGAGCTTTGTTACCTCGTCCAAGAGGCCAACCCGGACCTCCAGTCAACAGAGGCCAGGAAGTGACTTGGTCTGCACCTCGAGAATTACTCAAACTTACACAAGTCGTCGATTCTCTCACAGATCGTGTCGTGGCTGATTCAAATATGTTGGAAGGGGCGATGATACCTAGAGAT